TCCTCTCCTCCAGTGAGAGCAGCTCTGGGGTTCCTCTGGCTTCTGTGGGGGCAGCTGAGATGCTGCTTCTTCTCTCCTCAGGTGGGAGGGACCCTGATGTGTGTGCTGAGAACATTCCAGGAAGCTCCCTGATCCCCTATGTCCATCACAGAGGGCACTTCCTATGGAAAGCCAGCTCCAGGAGTGGTCTGGGAATCAGACTCTACCCTGTGAGTTTGAACCTGGGACTCATCAGCTGGCTGGTAACATGGCCCCAGTGCTGGAGGTCAGTGGCACCTGGGCAGACACTGGTCTGTGATGAGGTGCCCTTGTTCACTCTTTCACCAGAAATAAAGTGGTTTAACCTCAAGAAGGGAGTTCTCTTGGCATCTGGTGCTTGAACATAAGTTAGGAAATGGTTGGTATTAGGCTCTGGCATTGGAGGGCTATTTCTGGGCATCAGTCCCTCTGGGGAAAGACAATGAGAAGCTAAAGCTGACCACAGTCACAGCAGGAGGACTGCCAATCAACTCTGCTGCAAAGACATCCAGTGGCATTTTCCACGTCCCATCCCAACAAAAATGCTTCTCCTGCATCATGTAATCCTCGCTGCCTCCCAGAAAGGAGAAGTGCTGTGGTTCCAGAGAGAATCAGGGATGCTCACAGGCACATGTCCCATGGGCTGGCCCTCAGGATGCAGTTTTCATGCTGGTGTCCAGGTGTGTCACAGGAAGCTGAGAGAGTCTTAGATCAATAACTGAAGCCTACTCCCACAGAAGCAATAAAAGAAGATCCATATGAAACCCAAGCAAGCAGAATAAGGGAAATAATAAAGAAAAGAGTCAAAATTCAATAAAATGGAACACAGAGAAGTAATAGAGAAGATCATTGAAACACAAAGTTGATAACTTTAAAAGATCAATAAAATTGAAAATGCTCTTACACTGATGATGATGATGATGAGAGAAAGGACACACCAACATCAAGACTAAAGAGGGTGCTGGGTGTATTTGTAGAAATTCTGCAGATGTTAGACTGAAATCTGCAGTTATAAAGTTGACACTATTCACAAAATAGACTAAAACTGCTTCAAGAAGCTCAAGGTACCCCAATGCACCCAAAATGAAATCTAGCACATGAATGGTCTTTAACTGCTAAGGAAAGACATCATTTTTAAATCTTGGAGAAAGGTTTCCTAATGCCCAGGTGGTTTTGTAAGGAGATTGTACCATGCACTGAAGGATGAATTAAAACCAATGTTGGTGCAGAGAAAAGAGCAATAAAAAGAATTTTGAAAAATTTGAATACATACTCCAATTATTTTTTATGATTAGAGAAAACTATCATTATTTTTATTAACTGCAACAAAGCTGTTGGATTTGTAGAAGAATGTCCTTCATCATTCGACCTTTCCAGCTGTGGACTCCACTGGCACTGGTGTGCATTTCTGGCAAAGTGATTGATTAGTGGATGGGATTAGGTAGCCTCCATGTATCTCCTACCATGAGGGAAATTGTCTCTTACTTCTAATCATTACTCTTCCTGCAAGAAGGGACAAGGATAAATCAGTGGTCCAGTGTTGACCCAGCACATGAAGCCCATGGTAGGGCATGCTGGAAGGAACCTGGACCTTGAAAGAGTCTGTAGGAGTCCAGACATGCTCCTGTGCTTACACAGGGAAATAGGGCACATAGGGCTACAGAATGGGGTCTCCAGAATGCTGTGGATCTTTGGGACAATATTTATGGGAGAAGGAACATTTTTTTAATTAGCAAAAATTTGCTCTATAGCTGCTGTTGGCCCTGACCCCAGTGACTTAGATTTGCCTAGAGTGGTTTAGATAGTTTCCACAAGCCAGGGAAGGAAGCCATCAGCAACACTCCCATTGCTCTCCAGGGCTGTCCTAGTTTCCGTTTCTGTAAACTCCTAACACACAGGTAGTTGGAGCATCAAAGGAGAATATACACAAGCAGAAATTTACATGTTGTGATGAGGGTTTGAGGGTCGTCACTTCAGTAGGTCTGTGACCACAAATCAGGAGGAAATTAAGACCCCTGTGGAGACCACTCAATGTTACCTAGGGGCCTGCTCCAAACAGTCTCCACCTCCTCAGGGAGTCCTTTCCAGATTTCACCTGGTAGGTACCAGCATTTGTCGAGTGAGGCTACAGATGTGTAGGAAAATTCCAATATTGAATGAAGGCTGGAAAGACTCTGAGGAAAATAACAAAGCAACTGATAGGTAGATAGACAAAAGGAAGGACAGTAGGACAGGACAGTCCCCCTCCCTCTCTTTCTTCTTCAATGTCTGTTTATGTCAGAAGATCCATGGAGAGATGGACCAAACTCCTGACAGTGGAGACTCTAGAGGTAAGGAGTGGGGGATGGAGGGGAATTTAAGGTTATAATACATATTTATAGACTTGTGAATTATTCTGTAATGGATAGGAATACTAAAATTAGGACTAAAAAATTAAAACAAAAAGATACAAGACAGAAAAGACCCATTCACCTGGAGTGGAGACCCCCCCCAGGGAGATATGTTTTTCATTTTGGTCCTGGAGGTTGAACCCAGAGGTGCTGATCCACACAACCACCTCCCCAGCCCTTTTTAATATTGATTTAGAGACAGGGCCTCGAGGGGTTGCTCACAGCCTCACTAAGTTGCAGGTGCTGACCTGGAATTTACCTCCCTCTTGCCTCAGCCTTCTGAGCTGCTCAGATTAGACACTGACCCTCGCCAGAGAAGTGTCTGTACCCTGCTCCTTCTGGGGGGAGTTAAAATAATTAGCCTTCAGGAGGTGGCTGGCTGCGTACCACCTGGCAGGTGACCACCACGTCCCCACCCTGCACACAGGAGTTCACCAGGAGCCCACTAATGTGGTTACAGGTCACGTCCTTGTTCTCTGTGACGACTGAGGCAGTTTCCATCTTGGACATGTGTCCATTCTCCAGTCAGGTCACTTGAAGCTCAGGAGGTAGAACTACTTTCCTGGCAGGTGATAGTTACCTGGTTTCATCACTGTGTGTTTTGGGGGGACCCTCAATGTGGGTGGAAAGAGAGAAACAGAAAGATGGCCATGAGGATATGACAAGTGTCAGGTGAAGAAGGCAAGTGACAGCTGCCAGGACAGGCCCATCCCCCTTCCTTCTTCCTTAGTGTCCCTGTTTGAAGGCCCCATGAGATGTGTGCCCAACCCAACAGAGGAGACCCTCAGAGTGTGGGTGTGGGGTGCTGACTAAGACGCTGCTGTGTGCCCAGGCTCTGGGTGCCCTGTGGGAAGGGGGGTCACTGCTCTCACATCACAACACACACAGAGTCAGGATGAAGTATAAAAGCATCCAGTCAGCTGGAATGGAGGCCTTACCAGGGGTGTTGTCCAGGCCTTGCTCCCTGGGGCCAGCAGAGACCTGCAGGGTGTAGCTCCTGGTGGTGGCTGGTTGACCATCATGCTCCACCCGGCAGGTGAACGTCACGTCCTCCCTGTGCACAGAGGAGTTGACCAGCAGCCAGCTCGTCAGGTTGAAGGTCCCGTCTTTGTTCTCTGAGCGGGTTGAGGCCATCTCTGTCCTGGACACATTTCCATTCTCCACCCAGGTCACCTGTAGGCTCCGGGGGTAGAAGTGCTTCACCTGGCAGGTGACGTTCACCTGGTTCCATGTCATGGTGGGCTGTGGGGTGACCTCCACGGTGGGCGGAACTGAAACAGCACAGGGAGAAGCTGTGACCTTATGGCACAGATGCTGAGCTCCTCCCAGCATGGCAGGGGCCTCCGTCAGGACAGTGCCAGGCATGCAGAGGGGCTCAGACACTGAGAGTTTGCAGGGGAGTGAATAGCGCCTGCCACCCACAGGTGCCAAGTGACCAGCAGCTCCCCTGAGGGTAAAGTGAGTGAGGCTGACAGGCTGCCTATAGGAAGTGAGCAAATAGATGAAACTTCCCTGAACATCAAGGTTCAGCTCTTCCCTAGGAGAAGCTGATGTTCAATGAAATGAAGCCACCAGCACATGCTGGCCACAGGTCAGGAGTCCACATGTGCATGGCAGGTGACAGCACATTTGGGACCTAGAGCCGAAGCCACTGAGTTCCTGGAGCAAAGGCCCCTGGGGAGCAGCAGGCTGGGTGGACAGTGTGTGCTGAGGTGGGGATCAGGGTTCTGTACCTCAGATGGTGTCAGATAAGTTGGCAGTCCCACGAAGAGGAGGGCTCCCCCGTAGGGTGATGTGGGCCACCTCACAAATGACCTGAGAGTGGACATCCCCTGGGGCCAGGGTCACCTGGGCTGTGCTGGTCACATTGAAGGACACACTTTCTCCCGTGGGGTGCACGCTGGTCTGGGTGTGCGAGAGCTCATTCCCATTTTTGAACCACTTGAGGGTGATGTTGCGGGGGGAGAAGCCATGGGATTTGCAGGTGAAGCTCACCATCTGCCCAGGTGTGGCCCTCCTCGCTGGACCCGATACCATGGGGGGAGAAGGTCTGGCTGTGAAGGGGATTGACAGACAAGTGAGGTGATTGGGAGACCCCTTTTGAGCACAACAAATGATGCTGTTAAGAATCATCCCTGATGTCATTGTTGGTGTTTTCATTATTATTTTCTGTGCTAGGAATTGGCCCCAGGTGCCTGCTAAACACATGCTTGTCACTGGGCTACACCAAAAACGACAAGACAAGATTTTTTAATGCTCCTAATAAAGTGCTCTGGGTGCTGAGCTGATCCCTGTGTGGTGTCCCTACCCTCATGTCCCTGGGCAAAAGACAGCAAGGACCGACAGTCCAGGTGCTGTTCCAGGCCTGAGGTCAGAGCCTTACTCTCAGCACCAGAGCATTGCTACCAACCTGGGCCCAGGGAGGACCCCACAGCCCTGTCTCACCCTTTGTTAATAACCTTTTCCTGCTGGCCTACCCTGGAATGCTTGACACCAAGGGGAGTCATATTTAGAAACAAATGCAGGGGACAAACAGTACCAGGACACCAAAGTGAACATGGGGACCAGTTCTCCATGCTCACACCTGGCCCAGCACCTCATCTGTGGAGTGGGGTGGTTGGCAAATCTCCTCCCAGGCCACACTGAGCACAGTTGGCTTTGGATCATACAGAGCTGCCCCTGGAATCTCAGCAAATGTTCAGGCATGTTGCCCAGAGACTGGGGAGGTTGAGGCAGGGGGACTGCAATTTAAGATCAGACTGGGAAACCTAGAGAGAAACTTCCTGAAAATAAATAATGAAACATGCTGAGGATGTAGCTCAGTCGTAAAATGCCCCAGTTTCAATCCTCAGCACACACACACACACACACACACACACACACACACACACACACAGGTCCCTCCTTCTCCCTGACTTTGTTCTGTGCAGGGCTCGTCCACAGGTGGTTCTGAACTCAGCCCACTTGTTCCTCTTTCCACAAACATGCCATGGGCCTCACCTGGGCCAAAACCTGGATTTGAGAAGGAGAGGATGAAGGGGTGCTTTCTGAATGTGGTCTTCCATGGGTCACTTGGCATTGGAGTCACAGGTCACTGAACAGGGATGAGTTCATAACTGATGGCTAATTACAAGAGATGCAGACCCAGGCCCCTGAGCAGGTCCTGAGGGCACTCAGGTGTGAGCATCAGGAGGCTGCTTGCCTGTGGACGGGTCCCTTGGTGTCTCCAAATTGCTCACCACCAACCAGCACCTTCTACAGCTATTGACAGGCAGCAAATATCATGAAGTTTTGTATCAGCAAATGTTGAGCTCCCTGCCTGACATGCACCCAACCCAGAGGGCACAATATGCAGGGTGTCACTGAAGAAGTGGAGTCACCCAGACCACTCCACTCTGGAAGGCCCTACAGGGGTTAGGGACTCTGTCGCCACTTATCAGGAGCTGCTCAGCATTTTAAGGCTGGCCTGAGCCCCTGGAGCCCCTCAGATCTTGATAACCACCTCCGTGAGGAGGTCCTAGTGAGAGCCCATTATGGGACAAGGCTCAGAGAAGGGCATGGCCAGGAAAGGGCCCCAGGCTGGGGGAGAGGGAAGAGATCAGACTGCTCTCCTACACGGAGGATAAGGCAACACCTTTTTTTTTCTGCTGAGGTTCCTTGTCCCCTTTGGCAGAGAGTTCTTAAAAGCACCACCCTGCAAGAGGAGCTTAAAGGCAAGGCACAGCTCTGGCATGCAGTAGGAGCCTAATAAATGACACCTGTGGCTGTATCCTCACTCCTTCTGAAAGCACACATTCATTCTTTAGAAGCCAGAGGAGAGGAGCAACAAATGTTGTGGGAACCCAAGGAAAAGCTCCATCCTGTTCCTGCAGCCCCCAAGAGGCTGCATGACAGGAGGAGCAGACACCACAGGATGACGGGGCTCCACCTATTGCCCTGCCCCCCCCCCCAGGGACTGAGAGTCTACCCAGGGCCTCAGGGGGTGCTCAGCAGGAACCAGCACTGAGCTGCACCCCCGCCCTCTCCCTGTGTTCTTAAGAGTCCCCACAGGAAACAAGGTGACAAAGGTCTTCTCACATGAACAGCATCACAGGTTTCATCCAGAGAAGCTGTTTTCATAGAGTGTGGCTCAGTGAAGGGACAAGGGACAGATGCCTCAGTGACATTTTGAGACATCAAGGCACAGAGCTCTGTGTGCTGAAGAGCCAGGGCTTCCTAGCTCCAGCTCCTGTTCAGAGGCAACGTGTGTCAGATGTGGGCTCTGGGGTGACCCTGGATCTAGGAGGCTCCATTGGGAGACCCTGCCACAGGCCCCAGGGAGCTGAGCCCAGCACTTGCTGTACAGCAGCATCCACACCCGAGAAGGCTCCCGTGCTGTCCTTCATTGCCAGAAGAAAGAACCCCAGCTTTCCTTCCGTGTCTTCAGGACATCTCCTCAGGAGTCCACAGCCCTGGCCATGTGTCAGAAACTTCTGGAGTAAGTGGAAACTTCAGAAGCCCAGACCCTCCTCAGACCTTTTAAAGCAACATTTATAGGTGAAGCCTGGGTCTGGGAGTTTTTGTGTTCAGGTCCCCCCATGATTCCTATGCACAGCCAGTGGGGGAGCCCCCGACCCCACCCACCATGACAACAAGAGCATCAATAACATCTCCCCAGGAAGAAGAAGAAGGCTTTTGCCCTTATTGAAACAACAGAGCGGCTCTGTGTGTCCTGCTGGGGCATCTGCCCATGGAGAGAGATGTGACTGACACTCGGGAAAGGTTCTCCAGTCACTGTGGGCTTCAGGGTGTGAATGTGAGTGTCTTCCTGAACTGTGGGAGAGGGAGGAGGAGCAGAGATGCTGTTCCCTGCCCAGAGAGTCAGGTCAGGGTCTGTGTTGAGCCCCTCCTGTGCCCTGGCTCCTCTGTGGGGACAGTGTCTATTCCCAGGGCAGCAGGAGCCTGGGCTGGAGTCAGGTTGGGCCTGTGAGGGCTGGTCCCTGAGACACAGGGATTTACAGGCAGACCCAGGGCAAAGGCCCAACCTCTTGGCAGCTCCTCCACCAGGCCCCAGGTCTACAGGGAACCTGAGTCTGTCAGAATCCTCTCAGATGATATACCAGGAGGGGAAGGAAGGAAAGCATGCCCTGCTTTGGAGGGCCACGTCCTCAGGGAGGGACAGGAACAGTAGCCTGTGGGAGGAGAACTTTACCTGTCCTGTTCCCAGCTCTATCCAGAGCATCCAGAGTGCAGATTGGCACACAGTGGGTCCTGGGTGCTTGCAGCAAAAGGAGAAGGCTCACCCCCATGGGGCGGTGCTCTCTGAAGTTGGCACTTGGTCAGGCTTTGCAATTGGCAAGTCCCTCAAACCCTCAGAGCCCTCAGCTCAGGACCACAGGGCTGGACCAGACTGGAAAAGGTGAGAGCTGTGGAGCAGGCAGGTGAGGGGTGCAGTTGCCCCCTATTTACCAGCCATGGAGCATGGACCAAATAGCATGGCCTCCACAGGCCTCTGCCTCCCTGACCTGCAGAAGGGGTGACAGCAGGTCATGCCATGAGCACCCAGTGCTGCTCCTGCTTCTCAGCTGTGGCCCCCAGGATGGAGGGTGTGACCCCTGACCTCCTGTCCCACCCCAGGGAGGAGGAGGCAGCTGCACTCACCTCGCACAGACAACTCAGTGCCTGGTCCAGACTTATACTCCTTATCAACAGGGGTCGATTTCTGGAACTTCACACAGTAGTAGGTGCCAGAGTCTGCTGGGGTGACATTACTGATGCGGATGGAAAAGTCCCTGTTGTCCCTCTTTGTGGCATCTGAGACTTTTGTGACTCGGGGGAAGTGGCCTTCTCTGAAGTTGTAGATCAACTCCCGGCCTGGCCCTGCCCCCTTAAACCACTTCTGGGGCCCCACGGGGAGCAGGGAGGTCACAGTGCAGTGCAGAGTGGCCGACTCTCCAGCAGCGACAGACACTGGCTTCTCAGGCTGGATCACCTGCAGCTCCTGTGCAGCCGCTCCTGGGGGGAGACACAGGGTGGTCACTGTTCATCCTGGGGATCCTCTTGGTTTATCACGTGGTATCAGCAAAGCCTGTCACTAACTGAGTGCCCACAGAGTGGCCTTGAACTCAGCACAGGGCGTGTGTCCTCACACTGAGCCTCCCCTGGCCTGCACCTCCACACTGTGAGACACCTGCCCCTGAGGCCCAGAGCCCTGAGCAAGGTGGAGGGAGGGCACTTGAGGGCCTGAGCCCTCCCCTGAGCTCTCATGTGTCACCAACTATTTGTTGTACCCTTTTTCTGACCACAAGGTCACTGGCACTTCATGGACCAAGACATTGATCTGGGTCATGTGGCTCTTGAGTCTCCTGAGTATTGGGGAAGTGGTGGGTACAATTAGTGGGACATGCATTTGACTGTGAGTCTTGGCT